AATAGTCTGACTTCTACTTCCATGAATGTCTGAGTAATCCTTTATTATTAGTCTATACATCTCCAAAGCTCAAAATGTTCTGTTCCACCTTGTGATGTCATGGAGCGGTAGTTTCCAAGTTAAAGCTACCTTTTTTTTTTTTTCAGTATAGATGCATCAAGAATTTTGGACTTCCAGTCATTGCGCAATGCATACTGGGAAGGATTTTCCAAAAAATAGGGAGCATCAAACCGCCATGTTTGTTTTCCCAGTGGGAGGCGTCTATTGACAAAGCCAGTCTTTTGTAGTCTTTTGAATCGTATCGCTTTTGTTTCTGGTTCTGATATTGTCATATTTTAGTTTTGGGATTCAGACATTGTAATTGTGTGGCTGTTGGATGTTCTAACACTGGAAAATGGCTCAAGAAATTTGTTTGTGAACTTCACAAACTCACATCCTATTTGGAGCGTGGCGGCGAGTGGGTTAGCTATGTCCACTTATCTAGCCTATCATTTAGCGACATTTAACGTCACAAGGTTGTTTGTTTATGAGACGAGATCAAATTCCTCCTTCAGGAATTACAAGCCGACATCTGTTATTATCTATTGTGATGCAGGGTTCTTCACTGTTGACTTGAATATGCGTGCTGTTTTTGCTTTCAGTGACGTGGTTTAATCACACATACCAGATTTTCACATTCTTGACTTTATCTGTGCTGAAGCAAGAGTCACATTTCAGAACATGTTTGAATAGATATAAAATACAGGGTTAGCATTTTTTATGTAGAATAAGACAGGAGATTTTGTTGTTTGTGGAGGAAAATGTATAAGAGCACATAGACAAGTATACGCCCATGGAGCACTATGGAACCTACCTGAACGAAAATCACATTCTATTGTTATTACTGAGTGTTCTTTATTAACACTGTGGCATCGGAATCGGTACTGAGTATCAAGTCTGTTCCTCAGTATTGAAATTATAAATAATAAATATGCAGGGTTTGTGTTAAATGTGTGAATGAAACAAAACACAACTCCAGGTCTGTTTGTGTAGAGGAAACAACATTATCACATACATCAGAAAATAGCTGAACTAAAAGTAAAGGTAGCTCTTAACTTGAAAACTACCAATTCATGGCATCACAAGGTGGAACAGAGCATTTTGAGCTTTAGAGATGTAGACAAACTAATTATAAAGGGTTGCTTAAACATGTGTGAATGAAACTAAACACAACTCCAAGTCTGTTTTTGAGGAGGTAACAACATTATAACATGGCTTACAGTTGACAAGAGTCAATTTTGTCTAATGTAGGACCTTTAATATGCAAAGAGGTTTTATGTTTGATCAAAATAATGTCAGAATTTGTACCTAAACATCTTAAAATCACATACAGACAACCACTGTCACTACAACAGCAGCTTCTTTTTGGTTGGGGTTCCGTCAAATGCTTGTTTACATGAAGATGTCATTGCTCTGCCTGGAATATTCTAGCCTGATTTATCAGCTGGTTTCACTTTGTGGAAACCGTCGGACCTCACAGCATTAGGACTTGTTCACTTGATGGTAGGCAGGTAGTTTTTTATTTAACCAATTGCTGTTATTTGGTCATGACGTATGTAATGCACCAAATCCCATATGAAGAAGGACAATGTGACATCATCTTTCCCCTTGATAAAATTCACCAACCATTCTCTTTGTTCTGGCTTTAAATCCTCAGTCTCAGGAATCGTTGCCAACACAGAATGTCTGTCTTCGTCTACATCCATCTCGACCGCCTTGTTTACTGTTGTGCTGTACCACAAAAGGGACCCAGACAGATGCTTGAGTTTGAGGTCATGGCTTCACAGCTCTTCGGTGATTAGTCAGTGCGCGGTCTACAACTTCCGGGGTTCTTGCAAACCGTCTTTATCTATGTGGTTTGAGTTTCTGATTCTCCTGACCTAGTCACTGGAGAGAAATGAAATTGAGCGGAGGCACTAGGTGGCACCGGCCTGGCTAGAAATGTTCCACAGTATGATTTTAAACAACTCTTCCTTACATGTATTCAATTACAGGTGGATTTATAGCTCAAAAATATCTAAAAAACAAAACAAAAAAAACAGACAAAAACTGACTGTGAGTGGAGTTGCCTCTCCACAGATCTGACCTGTAACTTGGTCTGGTGTGGTCTCCATGAAAGTTTAATACCATACTGTGAAACATTCCAGACAAAGCAATAACATCTCAAGATACACAGTGCACTTTTAAGTTACTCTTACTTGAGTAATTTCTTGGACTACTACTTTGTACTTCTACTTGAGTAGTTTTGAAATAACATTACTCTTACTTGAGCACAATGTTTGACAACTCTACCAACTCTGCACAAGTCATATACAGATGAGGGTGACATTGACAAAAAGGAGTTCTACTGATGATAAAATTCAGTTATCCATCATAAATATACAAAAATAAATAAATAAATAAAGTCTTAGTTGAAGTTGCGTGAAAAAGTGAACGAAATTTTGAAAAACTTTTGAAATGTGGCGAATGTGCTATACTGTGAAACTTTCCAGACAAAGCAAAAACATCTCCATGAAGACAGAAGAAGGCATTTGACAAAGGTTACACAATACACCTTTAATAATAGGGTTCATTTTAAACACGACAGAAGAATTGGCAAATAGACTGAAATCTGTATTGTCACACTAATACAAGAATCACACTCCGAAACAATGGTACTACAGCTATGTTACACTAAACATGACTTGTTCTAACTATGTAAATTGCAAAACTGATTGTGTAGTTAACACATTGCAACAGCTGAAATGAGTCATGGGTCAGCTCTATTCACACTATTGTCTTTTCTTGGAGTTAGGGCTGGGCTATGACAAAACATAATTACAATATGCACTTTTTCCCTTTCACTGTTGATTCTATACTACCAGGGTTGTCAAAAGTATAGAAAATCAGATACTAATAGATACTAAAACTACTACCAAAACTAGATCCTCATTTGAGCAGTTATCGATACTGAAAAAGTCCCATTGACAGGGCAGAGATAAACCTTTCCTTGAACAAGTATAAAAGCACATAGACTAGTATACGGTCATGGACCACTGTGGAACCTACCTGGACCAGTGAGGGATTACACACACAAGAAAGTACTATAATATAATGCTGAAAATCACATTCTGTTATCTAAAGAATGAGCGTTTTTATTCTCTTTGTGGTATCGGTATCAGTATTGAGTATCTGAGCTGTATTAAAATGACTCAGTCTTGACCTTGGTTCAAATGTGATTAATATCTCAGCCCTATAATTAGAGATGTGTGTGTGTGTGTGCGTGTGCGTGTGTCTGTGCACATGTCTGAGTTGTTTGAATGTGTGTGTGTGCGTGTGTGTGTGTCTGTGCATGTGTCTGAGTTGTTTGATTGTGTGTGTGTGTGTGTGTGTGTGTATGCATCTTTGTGTGTGTATGTGTGTGTGTTTGTGCGTCTGCCTGTGTGTGTCTGCTTGTGAGTGAGACTGTGCATGTGTCTGAATTGTTTGGTTGTGTATGTCTGTGTGTGCGCGCGTGCAACTGCCTGTTTGTGTGCGTCTGTCTGTGTGTGTGTGCATGTGCGACCCTGTGCACACGACTGTGAGTTGTTTGGTTGTGTGTGTATGCGCGCGTGCGTGTGTGTGTGTGTGCGCGCGCGCGTGTGTGTGTGTGCATGTGCGCGTGTGTGTGCGTGTGTGTGCGTGCGCGCGTGTGTGTGCGTGTATGCGTGCGCGTGTGTGTGTGTGTGTGTGTGTGTGTGTGTGTGTGTGTGTAGGGGTGAGTCTGTGGGGTCAGAGAGTTTTGGGGTTGGGTAGCAGCACATGAGGGACTGTTTTTAATGACCATTACTTTTTTAAATAAAGTTTGATTTGATTTTAAATGCTTGGTGTTGTCAAATTCCAGTCAGGACTAAGGCAGAGTATTAGGCAGAGTGTCGTACTGATGTAATTTAGTATAGCACAATAATTGGCTTATCAAGAAGACCTATTATGCTAGTGTCTGCTCAATAGTTATCATCTCTGACTCTCGTAAATCACTAGGTTATAATTTGGGCAATTAAAATTGCAACATATATCTGAAATGACTTAATAAAAGAAATAACTCCACTGACTTCCGTGTTGACATCTGCAAAATGACATCATGAAAATAAGCAATTAAAGACTGGTCAAATATACATGAATCACTCCAAATACAACTCCAGGTGAGTAAATGTTGAGAGGAAACAACTATAACATTAAAGGTGCATTATGTAACTTTTCTGGTGTAAGAACGTCAAATGCTTTTCTTTATACCGATGTTATTGCTTTGTCTGGAATGTTTCACAGTATGGCCATTAAACCTTTCTATCTTCATGTAGCTTCATGTTCACCAAACCAGACCACGTTACGTTACTGTTCCACAGTATGACATTAAACAGCTCTACTTCACATGTATTCAATTATAGGTGGTTTTATAGCTCAAAAACACATAGAAAAACACTGACTGTGAGCTGGGTCACCTAACCATAGCTCTGACCTGTAACATGATCTGGTTTTGATCTCCATGAAGATAGAAAGGTTTAATGCCATACTGTGAAATATTCCAGACAAAGCAATAAGCATATGACTGATCCTAAACTAGAAAAGCTACACAATGAACTTTTAATAAAAACTTGTTTAATATTTTTGTTGGAGTACTTTGGAACATATATTGTTTAAAACTAATCCATGAATAAAGCGTATTGTAGTATGAGACAATTAATTTCAATGAGTTACCGAAAAAGGATCAGCCCTGACTGTTATAACCACACATTACTGCTCCAATTATAACTATGCACTTCTTCATTGCATTAGTGTCTACGAGCAGAGCACAGGATGGAGCAATACCCAGAAGAACCTGAAGTACCTGAAACAGGAGCTGGAGTTAAACAAAGGTGAGAGTGTGTGGTTGTGTGACTCACCTGTGGAAGGAGGGGCTAGTATATAAAACCCCATGGAGCACAGAGTCTCACACATAAGCTGAAGAAAACAAGCAACAGCATACAGTCATGTCGACTCAATCAGGTTAGACTCAAAGATCGCTGTTTCTGCAGTGTGGAAATATTTTTTATTTTTTTTTTTATTAATTAAATGTTTTACTATATATATACATATATATTGATTTAATTAGGAAATGCTGATTAAGGATTTATTTAGTATGTATTATTTATTTTAATTTTTTTTTTTTTAATTTATCCATCCCGTGCTTCTCTGATATCTAATTAACCAATATTGATTACTTATTTTTTTATGTTTCCTTTTATTTTTATTTAAATTTTAACTTTTTTATTTATTTCATTTTATTTGTATATTAATTTTATTATTATTTTATATTTTTTGTATTTTTATTTATTTTTACTTTTTATTTTATTTATTTATTTTTTTTACATTTTTCTCCTCTTGTCTTGTGCAGATATGATCAGTGTGAGCTCCACGTGGATTGCGGAGCAGTTCAAATGCTGCATCTGCCTGGACATTTACCATGACCCTGTGTCCATCCCGTGTGGTCATAACTTCTGCCAGGACTGCATCGAGGGCTTCTGGGAGACCAAGGCCCGTCCGGTGTGCCCACTCTGCAAAGAGACCTTCGCCAGCCGCCCCAAGCTCCGAATCAACACCAGCCTCGCACAGATCACCGAGACACTCTGGTCAGTCCAACCAAAGATGATCTTTTAGTGGAGATGAGCAAATGATCCTAATGAAGGTTTATGGAGTTTTATTATAACATTGTAACATAGATCAGAAAACAGTGTAATATGGGTCCTTTAAAATCAGTCAATAAAATGTCTTCTTCTTTTCTTCCAGGAATCTTGACAATGTTCCCAGTTCTTCGTCGGAAGCATTTTCAGAAGAGGTTTTGTGTGATGTTTGTAAAGACCCCCAGCTCAGCGCCGTCAAGTCCTGTCTCGTGTGTCAGGCCTCGTACTGCGACATGCACCTCACCCTCCACCAGCGAGACCCAGTATTGCAGAAGCACAGACTCACCGACCCGGCCACGTTCTCCACCTCTCACCTCTGCCGGAGACACAACAAACCTCTGGAGATGTTCTGCAAGAAAGATCAAACTCCAGTGTGCTCCGAATGCTGTGCCAGAGACCACAGAAACCACCAGACTATGTCCATCCCCCAAGCAACCAGGAAAGTCAAGGTAAAAAAGCACAGATATTTCAAGGGAGTACATTAAAGTGAAGCCAAGGTGAAGTAATTATGAGATTCAGATCAGCTTTGGTTCATAATGGAGAGGTCTAAAATACAAAAATACAATCTTAAAAGTCTTATATTACGCAAAATTGAATATAGTATTGTTACCACCTCAAAAACAGACCTGAAGTTGTGTTTTGTTTCATTCACACATGTTTGAGTAACACTTTAATATTACTCTCCCTACATTTCCAAAGCTCAAAATGCTCCATTCCACCTTGTGATGCTATGTAGTAGTAGTTTCAAAGTTAATTGCAACCTTTTGTTCAGGAGAGATGGAAATTCCCAGGCTGAAATCATCCAAATGATTCTAGTGGAAGTGTATGGAGTTTAAAAACACAGTGGAGCACTTCCTGTATTACCACATGACATCAGAGTATGGTTTTGATGAGAAAGCAACACTATAACACACTGTAGCTCAGAAAACAGCGTAATATGAGTCTTAAAACACAATTTTCCTTTTGTATTTGTTTATAATAACACAAAATAAAATGGAAAATTTTGAAAGATCATGGAATATTTTTGCATATTACCTAACTCTAATTGGTGGAAAGGGAAAGTTCCAAAGTTCAATGGAAAGAAACAGGAACTTTTTAAACTAAACAATGTTCTCAAACAGCCTTTCTATTTTTAAGACTGAACTGTTGGGAAGATATTAATACGATATTAACACTATAATTATGTTCTATTATTATCTCAAGTTATGCTTGTGTACGCCATTACACAATATATGAGTTAGAACATTCTTCCTGCTAAATCATGTTTACTCTGAAAAGATAATTATACTCATGAAAATGATTGTAACAGGGAAATTTTAAATATTAAATAATAAATGTTTTTCTTTTTTTTTTTTTCTTTTGCAGGAGTCACTGAAAGGAACCAAAACTGAGCTTAAAAAGTTGATAAGAGAGAGAATTCAGAAAACAGAAGAGATCCAGAGGGCTGTGGACCAGAGCAAAGTAAGAATTGAAAATTTTACTTCATTTTAATGTGATTTTAATGATTTTTGCAAGGCAATAACATCTCAATAGACACCAGCAAAACTTCCTAGAAAAGTTCCACAGTGCAGCTTTACTTCTGCAGAAAAATGTGGCTATTTTTTTATTTTTTTTATTTTGTATTTACATTTTTTGTTTGTTTTTTTGTTTTAGAAAATAACAGAGAGACAGATCCAGCAGAGTGTAGAGGTGTGCACGATGCTGATCAGCGCGATGGAGAGAGAGCAGAGCACCGTGGTGGAGGAGCTGCAGAGAAGACAGGAGGAGGTGGAGGAGAAAGCAAACCAACTCATCAACCACCTGCAAGCGGAGATGAAGGCCCTGCAGAACAGAGGGAGTGAAATAGTCACCCTGCAAGCTACCCACAACACCCTGCACATCTTACAGGTATTTAAGTCCAATCTTGTGTTTTATTTCTTATTATATACACAATTATCTACTAATTGATTGGCTGTATTTCACTATTTTACATATTTTAACATATTTGATTACAAAATTAGTGCTTTGGAAAGTGCATAGGTATCCCAAACAATAAGTACAAAATTCTCCACTTGCCAAAAAAAAACAAAAAACACAGAAAACTCAAAATCAAACTAGACCAAATGAACTAAAATGGAAAGCTTTTGGCCAAAAAAATTAAATAAAATGGCGGGCTTGCATCTCCACAAACCCGACTCTTATTTGGCTTCTTTCTGCTTGTTTCCATGGAAATAGTCCATGAGCTGTAATATGCAGCTGGTATAAATAATATGGTATAAAACATATCTATCTCCATGGAGAATATTCTTTGACTTTCTAATAGTTTGGCTTTCACTTTCTAATTCTGTGGAATCATACAAGGAAATGTCACCTCCAGAAATTTGCATACCATCACTTTAAACACTGTGCAGTATAATAAATAAATAAATACATACATAAATAAATAAATAAATAAATACAAATGAAAACATTAAAAAAATTAATTAAAAGACAAACATAATAATAAACATTACAAATAAATAAATGGATTTCAATATTCAATGCTATTGTCTATTGGCTATGTAAGGAAACCCTCTATCACCTCAACTATTCATAGTAAACGCTTTTGTTTTGATGTTTGTTTGTTTTTTTCTCAGGGTTTTCCTTCATTGAATAAAGTACCACCAACGCAAAACTGGACTGATGTGAAAGTTTACCCTGACAGCGGAATGGGAGCGATGAGAGACACTGTGTCCAAAATGATCGAAATCTGCCAACAACTCAGCTCCAAACTGCTGGAAGAAGGTGTGTGATCTCTCCAGTCTGTCTTATTCACAATGAAACACTTCAGTTCAAATAAATGACCAAAAATTTACTTAACATCCTGTGTTATTTTCTTTACAGAGGTGGAGCAGCTGAGTCAGTATAGTCTGAACGTGACCTATGACCCAGAGACAGCCTCGGGATGGCTGGATATTTCTGAAGATGGCAAACAGGTAAATTGTAATACATGTAAATGTTCTATTGTAATTCTATAAAAATGATTCAAAAAGGTTAAAGTATGTGGATAGCTAGGTACTGTAAATACATGAAATTAAATAAAGATAACTATAAAATATAACTATAAAAGTTCACTCTTCACTGTGATTGGTTACAACCACCTGTCACTCACACGGAGAATTAGTGAGACTGACCAATAGGAGGAGTGGGCAGGAAAAGTGTCTTTGTTTGAGTTAGTTTATAATAAGACATTTTTTTTGCGATTTGACTAAAATAGGAGATCGTACAGTTTAAACTATCTTCCATTGTTTAAAAAAAAACACAAAAAAACAATTAAAGGTTCACTTCAGATATGTCATTGCTCTGCCTGGAATATTCCACAGTATGACATTAAACAGCTCAAAAATACCCAGAAAATACCAAGAAAAACAGTGATCGGGGTTGCCTCTCCACAGATCTGACTGGAAACTTGGTCTAGTTTGGCTTCCATGAAGATAGAAAAGTTTAATACCATACTGTGAAACATTCCATACAAAGCAATAACATCTCAAAAAGCATTTGACGGACCCTCCACCAGAAAAGTTACACAGTGCACCTTTAGTCTAACTTTTATAGGGATTTGTGTGCTTGTTTTTGGTCTCACCTGTGCCTGTGCTCCTCAGGTGAGTCTCACCAGTTTGAAGAAGAAGAAAACAGTGTCTGACAGTGAGAAGCGCTTCGACTCTTGCGTCTGTGTTCTGGGCAAAGAGACCTTCTCCTCTGGACGTCAGTACTGGGAGGTTCAGGTGATTACGCAATTTTCTGATCTATGTTATAATGTAGTTTCCTCATCGCAAACATTCACACATGTTTAAACACACAATTCCTATGGTAAAAATCTGGTCTTTAAAACATGAAATGTGAATTAAAAGTGTGTAACTGAGCTGTATTGTTTTATGTTTCAGGTTGGAGATAAGACTGACTGGGATGTGGGCGTGGCTCGCGAGTCCGTACAGAGGAAAGGTTCCATCTCTGTGCGCCCCGACTTTGGTTTCTGGTCCATCTGTCTTCGGAAGGGCAGTCTGAGCGCGTGCACTAGCCCCTCCCTCCCCCTGAACCTGACCCCGCCCCCTCAGAAAGTGGGGGTGTACGTGGACTATGAAGAGCGCCTTGTTTCTTTCTACGACGTCGACCTCAAAAAGCTCATCTACAGTTTCACGGACTGCGACTTCACCGGAGCTGTGGTGCCCTACTTTAACCCTTGTGTACAAGACAATGGGAAAATGCCCCCTCTGGTCATCTGCCCCCCGGTGGAGAAGGCGAAAGTGGCAACACAATCCCTGATCATGACGACCACTCTCTAACTCCATAACATATGTTCAAATCGCAAAGATAGAAAGATTTTTTTGACCCTGTAGATTAAACCTCTACATATATGCTCTCAAATACATGGGATTCTTGTAAATATAGCACTTTTCTGTTTTGTTTTGTGTAATCTTAAATTCCCCAGTATTTTAAATGCCATTATCCTCATCACTATCATCGTCTTTTCCTTAGTATTAGTACAGTCTGTGTAAATGAGTAAAAATGTTGCAAGACCAACATACATACTTGTATATGAACTGTTGTGTGGAAGGCATGTCCAGTGTGTGTTAAACCTGCTTTGGTTTGACAGTTTTGTGTTTTTGTACTATTTGAGTATCGGATGTTAGTGACCTGACAGTGTGTTTTTGTACTATTTGAGTATCGGATGTTAGTGACCTGCACCAGGTCGGACTTTGCTGTAAAAATGCAAATTCACAATAAAACACTTTTACAATGAAATCAACTGTGTCACTTTTATTTTATAGTTCTATGGGTCTAAATATGGAAATAAATAAAAAGACAAATAAATGTGTAAAATAAATATGAAATCAAATAAATACATAAATAAATAAAATAACAATGACTTGGAAGATTGAGGGATTAAACGGATACTCAAACGTTTGTCCAGCTGACCAAATTAAACCTTTCTTTTGCATTAAATATACCTGTAATTAAGAAAAAGGCCAAAAAAACAGATTTATTAAAAAGAAATAGATGTACAAATGAATGGATTAAGAAAAAAATCAATAAAACAAGCATATATTTGTTTTTTAATCCCCAGAATGTGATACAAAAGTGCCCATATTGTGACATTTTCTGATCTATGTTATAATGTTGTTTCCTCATCACAAACAGACCTGGAGTTGTGTTTTGTTTCATTCTCACATTTAACACACAAACCCTGCAGATTTAGAGCTTCTCTCAAACTGAAAACACTCTGTTCTACCTTGTGGTGTCATGTGGTAATACAGGAAGTGCTTCACTGTTTTAAAACTCCACACACCTTCTCTAGAATCATTTGAATAATTTGTCAATCTCTACTCAACTAAAATTAAAAGGTAGCTCTAAATTGGAATACTACCACTTCATGACATCATAAGGTGGAAAACAGTATTTTGAGCTTTGGAGATGTAGACAGACTAATAATAAAGTGTTACTCAAACATGTGTGAATGAAACAAAACACAACTCCAGGACTGTTGTTGCAGAAGTCAACATTACAACATGACTTAAATCTCACAAGTGTAATATATTACATTTTCTTTTCAAACCATCAGTAGAATCAGCTTCAGACAGTCTAAAATTGTCTATAGATCTGAATAATTTTACCAAAAAATTGAAAATTGTGTCAACATCAGTTTATCTGTTAAGTTAATTTGTATTTGTATTCACTTGTATTTCAAAATTCAAATGTAATGATCTTTAATATGGATGTAACGATATCCAAATCTCACGGTACGATATTATCACAATATGCATCTCACAGAACGATAATTCTTGCGATTTTTGGAGAAGTTAACAGAATTGAACATATGCTAATACCTTGATTAGTCTTCAGTGTGAATCATTACTGTCATATCCCAAAGAAATAAGAATTAAAAGTGCTTAATAACATTTATTCTATTAAGTAGTAGTAAATTAAATAAAGGATCATGGCCTATGCAGTTCCCTCTGCATATTATTGCACTGATTTTTAAGTGAAAATCCTTGCAATACAATATATTGTGACAGTCCACGATATTACTGTGGGAGTTTTGATGATACAATATCATGATATTTTGGTTACTGTTGCATCTCTAATCTTTAATATTTGTTTGTTTTGTAGGAACAGGAATAGATTGTTACTTGGGCAGAAAACCAAAACTCTTTGCCAAACATGTAAATTATATTGATCTAAATGATCAGTTATCTCTAAAGGAGGAAGCCAAGAATACATCAAGCCTTAATTAAAGTCACTATCTTTAAAGGCACTGTACCTGATTTTTACCATCTTGAAAAAATGAAAAATAAAAATAGTGGGTCAAAGTTATTCCTCACTTACCTTATGCATTCAGAACATCCTAATTATTCACCACGATGAATTTATAGGCACATCTCACAACTCTCTGAGACTAGTGCTATGGTAAAACTAACAACAACTTGCATGCTATCACCTACTTCCTGATTCTTGGGCAATAAAAGGCTTTATAATTAGATGCAGACAGTACACAGCAAACTTATTTTGACCTTGAGAGCTCGTAGCTGTGAGCGTAAGGTCTGTGAGGGGATGCCGTCAGGCTAAAGAAGTCCTATTGGGCCTTGTTGGTTTGTGGGACTCCTGAAGCAGCTGTCAGGTACCAACAGGCCAGGTACCGACTTGCCAAGCATGCTGCAGCCTGTGCGGTTGCAAAGGCAAAACTCGGAGCTGGGAGGAGGACTATCGGACGGCCTCAAAAAGATTCTGGCAAACCATCCGGCGCCTCAGGAGGGGGAAGCAGTGCTTTACCAACACTTTACAGTGCTTTACAGTGTGGGAGGAGAGCTGTTGAAGGAATACTGTGAGGATCTCCTCAATCCCACCATCACATCACAAGCTGAGGCTGGGGACTCGTCCATCACCCTGGCTGAAGTCACTGAGGTGGTTGGCAAGCTCCTTGGTGGAAAGGCTCCAGGGGTGGATGAGATCCGTCCTGAGTACCTTAAGTCTCTGGATGTTGTGGGGCTGTCTTGGCTGACATGCCTCTTCAACATCACATGGCAGTTGGGGACAGTACCTCTGGACTGGCAAACCAGGGTGGTGGTCCCTCTGTATAAGAAGGGGGACCGGAGGGTGTGTTCCAAATACAGGGGAATCACACTTCTCAGCCTCCCTGGTAAAGTCTATGCCAGGGTACTGGAGGAGAGAGGAGAATCCGGCCGATAGTCGAACCTCAGATCCAGGAGGAGCAGTGTGGTTTTCATCCTGGCCTTGGAACACTGGACCAGCTCTACACTCTCCATCGGTGCTCGAGGGTTCATGGGAGTTTGCCCAACCAGTCCACATGTGCTTTGTGGATCTGGAGAAGGCTTTCGACCATGTCCCTCGTGGTGTCCTGTGGGGGATGCTCTGGGAGTATGGGGTCCGGGGTCCTTTGCTAAGGGCTGTCTGGTGACTGGAGCAGGAGCTGTGTTCGCATTGCCGGCAGTAAGTCAGACCTGTTCCTGGTGCATGTTGGACTCCGTCAGGGCTGCCCTTTGTCACCGGTTCTGTTCATTGTATTTATGGACATAATTTCTAGTCAGTGGCCAGAGGGGGTTTGGTTTGGGGACCACAGGATCTCATCTCTGCTGTTTTCAGATCATGTTCTGGGTGTTAACAGTCATATTATTAAGTGGTATTGGGCATTTCTTACAGGGAGACAGCAACAAGTTAAGGTTAACTCAGCGCTGTCAGATATTCAGGTTGTCAGCACTGGGACACCACAGGGCTGTGTTAGCTCACCTCTTCTTTTCACTTTGTACACCAATGTGCAGGAGTAGACAGGTAAACAACTATATAATTAAATTTTCTGATGACACAGCTATTCTTAGTTTACTCAGTAAAAGCACAGATGCCATCGGCTACAGGACAGGAATTGATGAAGTGGTGCATTGGTGTGAGGAGCATAACCTTGTCTTAAATGTGGAAAAGACAAAGGAGATCATTTTTGATCCCAAATCTGTCGGGGACCACAGCCCCATTAATATCAGGGGGAGGGACATAGAGCAGGTGACATGTTATAAGTACTTGGGTGTGTTATTTGATTCTCAGCTCCAATGGAGCCAGCAGGTACAGTCTGTCTGCTCAAGAATCAGCCAGCGTCTCTATTTTTTAAGACGGCTTAGGTTACATGGAGTTGACACCAATGTAATGCTGTTGTTTTATAAAGCATGCATAGAATCTATCTTACGCTATGGCATGTCAACATGGTTTGGTAACCTGTCAGTCAAACTTAAAGCACAGATTTTTACCTTGACTAAAAGAGCAGGTAAAATAATGGGTGTGGCCCCAAGCTCACTTCAGCAAATTTTTGAGGAGACTGTGAGGAAGCTCAGCAGGAAGGTGATCAATGACCCAACCCATGTTCTTCACAGTCAGTTTGAGTTGATGCCATCAGGCAGAAGGTACAGGGTCCCAAACTGTAAACTGAACAGATTCAAACATTCTTTTGTGCCACTAGCTGTTAAACTGCTAAACTCAGATAATGCAGTTAAAAAAAAATAATATAAAAGGCTTAGGGATTGTGCAATCAAAACTGCACATAGGTGTAGGGAATGTGCCATTAAAGCTACACATAGGCTTAAGGAATGTGCAATAATTAAATCTGCACATAGGCTAAGGGAATGTGCAATAATTAAAACTAAAACTGCACATAGGCTTAGGGAATGTGGAATCAAAACTGCACATAGGCTTAGGGAATGTGCAATAATTAATAGAACAGAAGAATGCAAGGGTTTGCCTGTTAAGGATAAGTTAAGGGTCCTGTTTGTGCATCACTCGTGGTCATACTGGTCTCATATTTACTTTGTTTTATGGTGTTTGTTTATGTGCTGCTTTGTGTTGTGTTGTCCTGTTTTTTGATAAAACATGTTACCCCCTGTCCCAAGACAAATTTCTCCCATGGGAGACAATAAAGGATTATCTTATCTTATCTTATCTTATCTTATCTTATCTTATCTTATGTTGTCCTATTGGCTTTCTCAGGCCAGGAACTGCAATATGCACTGGGGTGGTTTGCAGCCGAGTGTGAAGCGACTGGAATAAGGATCAGCTCTTCCAAGTCCGAGGCCGTGGTTCTCAACTGGAAAAAGCTGACTTGCCCTCTCTGGGTGGGTGGAGAGGTCCTGCCTCAAGTGGAGGAGTTCAAGTATCTCCAGATCTTGTTCAAGACTGACGGGAGGATGGGAGCGTGAGATTGACAGGTGGATCGGTGCAACGTCGGCAGTGGTCGCTGTATTGGACTGCTGTGGTGAAGAGAGAGCTGAACCGAAAGGCGAAGCTCTCGATTTACCGCTCAGTCTTTGTTCCTACCCTTACCTATGGTCATGGGCTCTGGGTAATGACCAAAAGGACGAGATCTCGGATACAAGCGGTCAAAATTAGTTTCCCCCGCAGGGTGGCTGGGTGCTCCCTTAGAGATACGGTGAGGAGCTCAGTCACACGGAAGGAGCTCGGAGTAGAGCCGCTGCTCCTCCACGTCAAGAGGAGCCAGTTGAGCACTGGCTCGGGCATCTGTTCTGGATGCCTCCTGAGAGCCTCCCTCAGGAGGTGTTCCGGGCATGTCCCACCGGGAGGGGGCCC